AGCAACCCGAAGCGATCGTTGTTCAACCGGGAACCGATTTCCTCAACTACCGTCGTCTTTGAAGGAGTTCAAGACATATTAGGTAATATTTGATATTACTTGTAACAAATTAATTCGCCAAATGTATATACGGGTTAAGTATTTAAGTGTTAAATACTTGTTTTGAAAAATTTTAAATTCCGCTGCGTATAGCCTGTACGGTACAGGCGAACCCAACAGAAGATCTGCGTCGCCATGGAAACCGTTGGGGTCGGGTAGAGTCTTCTTCACCGCCGCCCGGTCGACCTTCCCGGGGAAGTCCAGCTTAGCCATAGCCTGTTCCCACGTGTCGCAAGCAAAGTCGAAATATTGGACCGCCGCGGGAACTATCCTGTCAAGGAAGTCGGGCGAGTCACAGAACGCCTCGACCACAGTCTTGCGATAGTGTTCAAGGAAGACTGCACCTGTCGGGGACTTCAAGAAGGTCCTGCGGCCTTCTTGAAGACCATTCTCCCTCTCGACCATGGTCTCGTTGGTCGCCTTGGCCAAGTCGGCTTTCAACTTCCCGACTTTTCGGGCGACCGTCTCCTTGTCAGACCGAAGCTTACGGCATTGGCAGCCTCGAGCTCTTCCTCCTTTGCCTCGAGCTCCTGGCACTTAGCTGTATACTTTTCCTCCAAAACCTTGACGTTGGTTTGGGGGGAAGTCGCCTCCTCGATCATAGAAGGGAGGATGCATGCGAGAAGCTGCGGATAAAATGATGATGAAAAATCAAAACAGAGTTCGGACAGAAGGAAGGAACATAGACAAACAAAACCTACCCGAGGAATGAGTCGAGCAGCATAGTGGGCCCGATGACAAGGGTTACCATCAGTCCAAGCCTTGTCGTCCTCAGGGAGAGTCGAATGGAGGTATTAAAGAATTTGAAGGGGGTCGGGGTTGTCGTAAAGCCGAAAAAGCTGCTCCAGGGTCACGGACTGCACCTTCACAGGGGACGACTACCCCACATCCTTCTCGACCCGTCGGCTCTTTCCCGTTTTGTTGTTTCAGGGAGCTGGGCATCAGGGTCATGTCCCTTTGATCCTGAGCCCTTTTGCGAGAATGGGAGCCCAACGGTTGACTCGGCTTAGCAGCCGAGGGAAGCACCACCTTCGACTTTTTGGCAGCAGTCGTCTGGACTACCGCAGCTTTGGAACCAGAACCTGAGCCGCCTTCAGGTCTCCTTGGAGGAGCATGAGGAGCGATGGGCTTGTCAGCCGCCTGGCCTTTCTTCTTTTCGAAACGGGCTAAGGCTTTCACTGTCGACATAGAAAGAAATAATCAATAAAAAAAGTGAAGGATAGTCATGCATACGCGTCAAACGGAAATAGATAAGCATCCAGACGATTGGTAGTAAGTTGAGACATAAATCGAAATAACAGAGAGCTTACGAAGATCACTGATTTGAAGAACACTCTTGTCGACACAAATCCCAACATGGTTAAGAAGGGAGCTATCCTTAGTTAGTCGACGAGCACTCCATACATGCCTATTCAACTCTTCCAGCATATTCGCAAACTACGAGGAGCGAGGACGCTTATGTTGTGTCACCTTGCTGGTAATCCACACATTGGTGAAAGGGTATTGGCCAGGAGCAGGTCGGATAAAGAAGTATTTCTTCTTCCGCTCGATAATATTGGAAGAAAGATCGTTAAGGAAAGACACCCCCACACGACGACCTAGGCAGTGGGCGTCTTTGCTAAACCTATACCCGTAACAGTAAAGAAAAAACTCAGGCACAAAACTACCTAGATCTATTTGGGAGACGATTATGAAAGCCACCATTATTCGGATGGAGTTGGGAGTGAACTTATTTATGGGTACATCATACAGATTGCTCAGAGAAAACATTTCATGTTGGATCGGGAAGAGAAATCCAGACATTATTTGATCGATGAAAAATGTAAAACAGTCGCGGGGAGGATGTTTGAAGTCATCGCTAATTGTAGGAGCAACCAATTCCCAGTTGGAGGGAAGACCACTGTACTCCCTGAAGCCATCAATTTCGGCTGCAGGGGCATAACAAAAGGGATTAAGAACAGCTAACTTTGCTACAGGACATGCTAAAGTTATAGGATCGACTGAAGGAGCTATTATTAATGAATGTACAGGACTTGTTCTATACACAGGGATGTCTAAAAGCCTAAGAGGAATACCTCGAGGGATTAAGTTAAGTCGAGGAGACCCTGGGGCACGAGAAGTCTCAGGGTCCTCATTTAAAGTGCCAGACAGCAATGCCTGATTATACACATCCCAGTCGATTCCAAAGGACGGGGCAGTGGAATGGGCAGAATTCTCTGGCTCGACATTTAGATCAGCACTCGGTCCGACAACAATTATTTGTACAAAATCAGAACTCGAATAATCATCGATTTGACGGGCAAGAGATTTGAAAACAGGGTCAGAGTCGGAATCTAAAAAAGAAGAGAGAACGACAGTCAATAGATGAGGATAATTATAACCGCGATTTGGCTCCAGAAGAGGAAATAAAACAATGAAGAAACGAGGAGAGCATGCGAGTTATCCATATTGCGACTCGACTCGACAGAAGGACAAAAGAAGGGGACGAGCGAGGGGAACACGTAAGTCATCCCTGATCAAACCCGACTTGACATAAGGATGTCAAGTCGACGATTGGCCAACCCATAGAAAAGCAGAAGAGTCAATTTCTCATATCAAATCGACTGACGAACGAAAACACTTAGAAAAACGAGAAATCCACGATTGAAGATCTAACGAGGAAAAATCATCGAAAATCATTTAAAGAACATCAAAAAGCACGAAGGGCCCTTATGAACTCCGAACGCAGAGCCCAGAAAAAAAGAATATTTAAAAAAACAAACAACAAACAAACACGCCGTCGCAATAACTGAAGAGCAAAGAAAACTTACACATGATGCCTTGATTTTAGAAGTCCTTAAATTCCAAGAAGAGCGCCGGAAAAGGAAGCGAACGCCGGAAAGCTTGCGATGCTGTTATTGCCAGAGAAGAAGAGAGAGCTCGAGAAATTTGAGTGCGAAAAGTGGGAGAGGAGGAAGGAGAAAGATACTTATAGGGGAAAGCGAAACTCTAGCCCTCGGATTAAAGGTAGACCCAACGGTCAAGATGACACACAGAATACGAAGCGGCGGAGAGAGAAAACGTCTTATCAGGTTTCAAACCTTTGTAAATTTTGAAATTTGAAAGAAAATTCAGACTTATCCAATCAATGTGGGAATTTATATAAGTAAAAACGATAGGACTGTTCACGAGTCAAGATATAGATGATGAGACTGGAACCAAGGAAATCGACTGAGAGGAAGATGCCATAAAAAGGACAAGATCTAGGACAACGACAAATAGCAAAGTTCAACATGTGGAAAGACTCAAGCAAGCTACTCAGTCGTCAAATTTACTCTTAAGCTCAGAATAGCTTCGAGTATTTTTTTTT